AGCATTTCCCTTCCTAAGTGTGTCTCAGATAGATGTTTATCTTCTATCCAATGATACCTTCCTCATTTTCTCCATTGCTACTTGATTGATCTTCTTTCCTTTGTACTGCACTCTAATGAACAAAATAGCAATGCGCATGCTCAGTTTTCCGATTTGAACTCCCATTTCTCCAACTCTTTTATAAACAATTTGCAATGCAACTCAAGGCAGCTCTCCTCTGCCTCCAATTATTGGAGGTAACTTACCCACTCATTTCTTTGAGTCTACACTTGTCCTTGTTAGTGAGGACTTGTTTCTTAGCTGAAATCTACTGCTGTTTAATGAAAGCTCTTTCCTTCCCATTTGATGACACGTATGTTTCAATTAGTGAAAATTTCCAGTTTACTAGCTTATCCAAAGCCTTCCTTCTGTTTCCACTCATCTCCCAGTTCTAGTCTTAATTATGTAACCCAGTCATGTACCCCAAATACTATCCAGCTAGAACCTTAGTGGATCAGCAAAATTGCCTTTTAGACTCCTTGGTTTTGGGTCCTATCTATACCACTCAAAAGCTGTGTAACTTTCAAAAGCTGCTTAAATTTCCTGTGCATCTGTGCTCTTGCCTGTAAAATGAGGACAATAAAGGCAGTAAGTTCTGAGGATGAACTGAGACAGCAATAGTAAAGTGCTTACAAAAAAGTCAAGCTGAGAAAAGATTCTCAACAAATTTTGACTATCCGTTATAGTCTTTTCTACCTTCACAAGCTAAGGTATAAATTTATAGTGTTTGATTAACCTTGCCATTGATGAACCACTTAAAAGGAGTTGTATTTGAAATATCATTGAAGACAGTCATGGTAAATTCTTGTGGTCCCAACTCTTTCAGGAAGCAGAGTCTGAAAGATCAGGTGTTCGAGGATAGCCTGGGCTACTATGTGAGTTCCAAACCAAAGGGGGGGGAAAAATAAAAAACAAAATACAACACAAACTTCATTGAAGCATTGGCTTATCTTCTGAATCTCTGTGTCCATTGCAGAGAAGGAAATTGTTTATTTTCTTTCTAATCCTATTTGACTGATAACTCCCCCTGCTTCCAGAACTCATTCTAATTGTGATAGAATAATGAACCCCTGGCATTTAATTATGACATGGTGGATGCCAATTATAAACTGAAAGACATGTTTCTTCATATTCTTCCTTACATCAAAATCATAATTTATAATTTTAGAAATTAGATTAGATTTTAAAAGTAGTTTAAGCGATATCCTCCTCCATCGACACTATGTCACAGCACTTCTTCCAGATCTATGACTATGTGACAGCTATTATATGTTCTCAAGATGTCAGGACACATTCTTGCTTCGATCTGAGAAATCCCTTTGATGATAATCTGACAAATTCCTTAAATTACTTACATATTTGAAGAGTGATCTCATAGCCCCAAGAAAATATATATTTCTCTGATTACTTATAAAACTCTGTCCAACTTAATACTGTGGCCATAGTCTTTGTAGAGTGAGGCTGTGTTCTTCTGAGAAATGCACAACAATGATGCAGACTGAGGATGTGGTTCAAAACAAAAATATCATTTTAATATTTAAAATATTAGGTATGATTTAGTTTTTAAAAAATACCATGGCATTCCCAGGTGTGTTACATGGAAAAGCAGTGGGCTATTCATTAAATAATCCATATTACTTTAGAAGCAGTTAAGGAATTACTAGAAAGAATTAGTATAATATTTTCAAACTATGCACAGTTAGAATCATGGGCAACTTATCTAATTTTTGATCTGGATTCTGTTTTATAATCAGTAAATGGGTTTGGACAAAGATAAAATGAAATTATATATTCAAGTACTGTGTTTAGAATAGGGAAGAAATGTTCATTATGTCTGAAAATCCAAAGGAGTAGGCAAAGCGTTAACAGTGGAAGGGCAGTTCTGCAAACTTGCTCACATCATGATACCTGGGAAGCAAAAAGTGACAGCTATGGGCCAAGGTCCTCTATATATTTTCAAGGATATGTTCCTAGTGACATAGCTTCTTCAATTCAGCTTAAGCTTCTAGAGTTTTCAACACCTCCCATCAGTTCCAACAGCTAGGGACCAACCCTTCAGGAGAAGACTCTCTAGAGGCCACTTGAACTCCAAACTACGGCAGAATTGTTAAGAAAAACAACAAATATCTGTTAGTAAATAACTCTAGTAAGGTCTGTTCATAGTCTTGAGATGTATTATTGCCCATTTACCCAATGTGCTTACCAGAATACCATTGTATTTCAAACTAAGCTTTATATGACCCCTGCTTTGAAATACTTAGCAAGATCTCCAGAAAGAAAAAATAAACAGAAGTACACCTTGCATACTTGTACAAAGGTATGTTCTCTGAGGAAACAGACCTACTTTCAATTATCTTTGTCTGTTTTCTCAACAGCAAAAATTGACTAGATGATAACTGGGCAATTTTTTATAGAGTCAGTTTCCTTGGTAGAAAAAAAAATAAAAAAAAAAAAAAACCAAACAAACCAAAAACCTTATCAAAAGCATTTTAATTTTGACCCCAAAAGAGAAAAAAGGTAAAGCTGTTGAAATGGTTAAATGTCCAAGTATTTGGAAACCATTGTTTATACATAAGCTAGGTCACATACCTATCCGTAACTCTGTTATAATAAATGTATTCCTAACATAAAATTATATACAAGAGTCCATCTCTATTTCTATACTCAGTCACATTCTACTTGAAACAGTTCAAACAGTTAATAATTACCCAGATGATGTAGTCTGTTTTGACCCACTTCCTAGGGAAAACACAAACAAAAGTAAAATGTTTATTTATCTTTATAATTTCCCCACATGATGACACTTCCAACTTAAAGGCTCCTTCTCAAGGTGCCCTGATTTCTTCATAAAGCCTGTCTGGTGAGTCTCTGTGAGTCCTAATCATGACTTCTCTCCTCATCGCTAGAGTCCTAAGTGGTACTCATCCTGGTCACGTGACAGTGTTTTTAATTGCTAAAGCTAGCAGTATGCATTTTAATTATACCTTAATCATTTATTGCATACAGTTTCTGTCCAGAAAAGGAGGTCTTGGGAATCATTCACTACAAAGTATTTGTGGACTTTGCCTGGGTTGGCAGACTGGGACAGAATTTCTGAGAAAGTACTATGTGGATATGCCAAAGAAAACCAATCTGAGACGGTCCTCCAGAGAGCAGCTCATTTGGGACCAGGCTGGTGGTTTTATCTTGGATTGAGGCCTCACCATCAAGACTCATGGAGGTATCTGTAAGCGCACAGCACACCTGTGATTGCTCTCAGTGACTGCTTGCATTTGTTAAGTGAGAGCTCACTAACTGCAAAGGGAGAGGGACTCATCCTAAAACTACTGCCTGCTGTGAGTACATTTCTCTGCCAGTACGTGCTAATGACTCACTCTCCTTAATAGAACTTTCATGAGGCTGGAATTTGGGGATGGCTGTCTGGAGAATGTCTGAGAGGAAGTTAGCAAGCCACTGTTCTGGTTTATGGTGGAGAAAGCTTCCTGTGGTAACCAGAGCAGTCAACTAAGGCAAACAGCAACATCTTCCAGTAATGTTTCCTCATTACTTTCCATAAACAGTTCATGAAAGATCAGCATGAAGTTTGGCATAGTCAGGCAAAGGACATTACAAACTTCTGAAGAAAGCCTTTGGTGAAAATCTGAAGCAAATTTCAGCAACTGTATCCACTTGAAAACAGAGAATCTGCCCTAAGGAATTGCTCTGGTCCAGAGAGTATGCACCCCCCCAAAAAAGTGTGTGTGTTGTATGTGTGAGGTGTGGGGTGTGTGTATGTGTGTATGTGGTGTGTGTGTATGGTGTATGTGTGGGGTGTGGGGTGTGTGTATGTGTGTATGTGGTGTGTGTGTATGGTGTATGTGTGAGGTGTGGGGTGTGTGTATGTGTGTATGTGGTGTGTGTGTATATGGTATATGTGTGAGGTGTGGGGGTGTATGTATGGTGTGTGTGTGTGTGTGTCTGGTGTGTATGGCATGAGTGGGTGTGGGGGGGTAATGTGTGTGTGTGTGTGTGTGTGTGTGTGTGTGTGTGTGTGTGTGTGCGCGCGCGAACTCCATCAGTCATTTTACTGATCTGCCAAGATGACCAATCACTTTGAAATATGTGGACTAGCGAAGATGAAGTACACATGACTACTCTTTTCCCTTGCCTTTTTAAATTTTATTTTAAGGTCTTTATAATTACTAAATGTTCTCCTTTCTCAGAAGTTATTCTGAGAGCAAAGCAAAAATATCACTCTTGTAAAGCCATTTCCATTCTTCCAAAGGTCTGCTGGTAAATTATTCCCACTGATCTTTCCATCTTTCTAGCCTGTGCAAACACACCTAACCCATACTACATTTCAACAGATGGCGCTTCGTTTCTCTAAAGGAAAGCAGCCGTGGGTTTAGACAGTTGAATTTTTAAACTTCTGTATTTACTGAAAGTGCATATGGTGCTATATGGACAAAGAAATTGTGCTGAAAGAAAAACATTTCTGTCTGCTGCACCTCACAGGCTCCCAGGAGAAAAGTGTGCAGCCACACACACCATGTACTTCTCACAAAGCCACATGGGTTCCAATGTCCTTCCCTTCCTAAAAATTAGACAGAGATGACGCATGTATCAGAAAGTTTCTTTATTTGAAAGTCCTCCTTTCAGCTACAAATGGGAGGAGTATAGGAAAGATTGCTACGAAAGTAACTCCAACAATTTCTAGGAGAAAATGAAACACAACACAACCATGAACACCAAAAAAAAAAAAAAAAAAAAAAAAAAAGTGAAATAAAACAACCTCTGTATGACACCGTAAGCAGATGTTGGTGTAGAATTTACAAGGATAGGAGGGCTATAAAGCCTCCCTTGGGCCACTCACAGTTCATTTAAAGGCCAAGAACGCCCCCAAAATCTGTTTCTAATTTTACAGAAATCTTTCGAAATTTGGCACAGTAGTCAAAAGTCCGTGGAAAAAAAAAAAAAAAAAAAAAAAAAAAAAAGCCCTCATGTCCTGACTTCAGCTTCCAACTGGAAGACAGACTTGCTTCTTTTCAAAGGTTTTTACAGATGCGGTGACCCACGCAGTGCAGTGAGAATCAGCTAACTTTCAAAAACATCTGGAAAAATGAAGGTTAGTTTGTGTGGTCTCGGGGATTACCACAGCGCCGAGGCAGCCTGGGCTGAGTATTGTCAGGATTTTCTATTGTTTAAAGGTGAGGGTCTGTGTGTGAGTATCGCTTCCTGGTGTGTGTTAGGATTGGAAAGTGGCTCTAAATATACTGTAGAAACATTTGTTGTAGCATAACTGGAAAGGTTCCAGCAATTACCGCCAGATCAGTGGAACACAATCGCAAGCTTTGTAGGGGAGGGGAAGTAGGAGCTAGGGCTCGACAAAATCTTACCATTTCTTCGTAGGAACTAAGGCCGTGGCTAAAATGTTCTGTATTCTATGTAGACATGGATGAAAACTGTCGTTGGAGTTGCCACCTTGGCTGGGCTTGCTTTACTCGTGATATGCATTGTCTTCCGTCCCTCAAGAGGTAAGAAATTTTCTGATTCACTCAGTCTGCCTAACATAGCCTGGGAAATGCACCAATGTGTGAACTCAAATGGGTGAACATTTCCTAAGTGCCTATTTTCCAAAGGAGGCCTGTTATTTCTAAGAAGAGGTGTAAGTTCACAGTTGTGTTCTGTGCAAGACCAGAAACACTGAAGAGTTAAGGGTAGGAAGAGATTTACAGTCTTATTTCAGCAACAGAAAAACCTGAGAGCTTCTCTGCCTCACTCCCACCACCCCCAAAAATACATGCAGAAGACAAGCTTTGATAGGCCTTCAAGACAATATTTTTAACTTGCATTGTTTTCTATTACTAGATTTGCCTGGTGGCAAGTGAAAATAATGAGTAAGAATAGAAAAGTTAAAAAAAGAACCTATGGAAGCTTTGAAATCACTAAATAGTGCCTCCAAAAAATTTAAGGAAGACGTTCAGAATAGAAATTTCAGGAATAGCCGTATAGGAAAAGTAAAATTCTTGTTCTATATGTGGTAGCAATTAGCAATTAAATTAGGAGGCTTGGTATAGTTAAGCGAGCATTATCAAGATAAACTGTTTTTGTGGGGTTTTGTTGTATAGTTTTGGGGAACTTTTTTTTTTTTTTTTGTGCAGAGGCTTGGGCTGGCAATGGTGCCTCTTGACTGAGACATGAAAGGTGTTCCACACTGACTTTGAAACTAGTTTTAATTTTAATATTATCAGTTGATAATGAACTCTTTCTTATTATGACAATTCTTATGAAGAGCAACTTGAGCTTCTAAAGCCAAAACCCGATGTAACAATAACAGATCCTGTACTGTAGGATCTGGATAAGAGCTGAGAAATGTCTGTGGTTGAAAGTGAGCTCCCACTAAAGGCGGTTCATGGCACAGCTTCAGCCGAACCGCACATGAGTCCTGAATTATCTGTTGCCTTTAAGACTGAAACACACAAAGAGCTGAAGAGTTCAGAGTGTTTGCCAGACCTTCCCAGAACTAGAAAGTACAGGCTAACCTGACAAAGGCAGGATGCTCATGTCTTCACCTTTATGTTTAGCTTGCCCTTCCATTCCCCACAACACAAGATTTTTCCAGGGCTGTTGAAATGTATGCCCCTATTTTCATTTTTTTTTTCAAAATAAGTTCAAGCTCAAATTGATTATAAGCCAGACTACCACCCCAGTGTTTTAAGGGACACATTTCCTTCAGCCCAGAGCTATTGAGTGTTGGGCTAGGACCTTGACCCTTCTAAATCCAATCTATTAAAAATTGTCCTCTGACTTTTACTGACACTCACTGGAGCTTGAAATGGATAATCTGCTCCCTCAAAAAGTAACAGTTTTCAGAACAAAAACATATGGACTTTGTTGAGACAGCCTTTCATGTCCACAGTGTTGAACTTTGAACTTTGAGATATATTTCCAATGAGAAGTATATTTATCCAATGCAAATAACATATAAGGATAGATATTTGGGTCTATACTTACATTTATAGATATAGACATTTGTGTAATTACATATAATCCCAATCTTTATCTTCTTTCCAAGTTTTTTATGAATAGCACACTCAAAAATATGTTATAAACTATATATAACATAAAAGTCCTGTTTTTTTTTATAACATACATTTCTATTTTCAATGGAAAGGATAATTCTCTAAGTAATTTCCTGTTATTGTGAAATAATCAAATTAACCTGAAGAGAAAATTTGAGTACTCATTTAGATCTAATGGAGAAGTAAAGAATGCTGGGGGACTACTTTTTTGTGTATAATGTTACTTGAACAACAGCTTCTGAGTGAAGCTCATCTTTCCTCACCTCTATAGTAGGTCTGGGGTCTGATGTGATGACCGCTTCCTTTTGACCTCTCTTCTCTTTTCTCATGCCCCACACCTTCACCATGCCCATGCTGGGCATCAGGTCCCACCCTACTTCACATTTTTCTAGTGCCTGTAAGAACAGAATTTGAGGTAGGAAGTCAGGGGAAAGTAGGAGGGAACAGAAACGCAAGCTAAAAGCTGCATAAGCCTCTACACCCACTACATCAGAAACACCATCACCATACATTTGTCTTCTGGGCCTTTGTTCCTAGTCCAGGTGCTACGTGACACTGTAATAGAAGTCAAAAAATAGTCAGCCATACCTTTATTTATACATGAATGCACTAGGTTCCCCTAAGCACCTCCTAACATTGTCCTGTTGTGGAGGTTACAAAGTTCAGTTATCTAAATTTTCCCCCAGGCAAACATGGAATAATTCTTCACTCTGCATGCCTCAAAACACACAGCCATCACCGCCATTACAGGAGAAGATTTCTGTCACTCTCCACACTTATAAATGAAAAAAACAGAATCAGGATGAAAGGGGCTTTTTACTTCCAGGGTAGATGTCCACACAGGATCAGCTTCCAGCTTACAAGAGTTTTGGAGAAAAGAACAGATCGTAGGATAAGTAGAAATGTGGTAGTGAATAAGAATGCTCTGTTTAGCTCACTTACATATTAAAAACAACCGTGTTACAGCTCTTTCTGAAACTCTCAAAAGATTCCATTTTAATTTTAATCCAAACTGAAGACACACATGCACTTCTACCCTGCAGTCCCATGTGGTCCTTGGCTTCCACCCCTCATTTTAGTCTCTTTTTACTCCTGCCTCCGTTTATTCTCTGCCTTGAGGATTTCTTCCCTGGCATCACCCTTATTCTAGGATGACGATGCAGCCAAGGAAAAAGTCAGTGCAATGCTACTGGGTTCCCTTCATCTACACTGACAACCACCATCACACAGACTTTCTTGTTTTAAGAGATTTACACGGGATAAAAACTAAAACTAAAATGAGAAAGTTGCAAAGGTCTTAGAATATTTTAAAATTTCTACAGTCTTCCTTGAGTTGTGATTTGTGTTTTCTGAATTTGGATAGTATATTACCCCATGTGGTGATTACATGCACTCAATACTTTCTAACTGTGATTTTTTTTTTAACATTTATTTGTTTTGTTTTACATGTGCATCTTTGTGTATATGTGTGTGGGAATGTTTGTATGGTTGTCAGAGGACAACTTGTGGGAGTTGATTCTCCCCTTCTACCATATGGGTTCCCGAGGCCAAACTCAGGTTATCAGGCTTGGCAGCAATCACCTTTAACCTCTGGACCATCTCACAATCCCAACTATGTTTTTTTTTTTTCGAGTTGTAAAATTTATAGCATGTGTTATATAGTCAAAAATTGTGTCTATAACTCTATTTCCTCTATCATACTAATATGGGCATATATACATAATATATACACATATATTATGAATATATGTATACATATATGTGATAAAAGATAATTCATAGACTTTTCTATTTGATACATTTATTTTTTAATTTCTACTTAATTCTGATAGTAGGGGCCTTTATCCCTGAGTGTCATCCTTGCTTCTATATTCTACCTGTTCGGACCTAAAATAACAAATATTTTAGAAACTTTTGTGTATGTGGCAGGCATAAAATGAAAAAAAAATATGGAAAGATAAAGAGAGTTGGGATATAAAGCTGAGTGGGGGAAAGCAAAGGGAGTCACACGGTGCCAAGAAACACAGGTTCCTTGGAGTATGACTCTGGTGGTTCCCGAGGACAGGGAGACGCTGTCACTTCAATCTTGGACCACCCAAACACCCTCCTATCTGCCTTTCCACTCTTTCCTCCATTAGTGATTGCTGTTGACTTAACCTAATATGTTTTACAGAAATTTAAAATTGGATGCCAATTTTAAAATCAGATTTCCAATAAGAAATTAACTCTTAGGCTTCTTTACAAATACGTTAAGTATTTGTGAAAGCAGCTTCCTATCCTTCTGTACCAGAACAAGTCTGTTCTGGCCGTCAGGAGAACTGGCCAGAACTTTATTTTTCTAACAGTTCTGGGACCTAGACATCTAAGGCCAAGGTGCCAGCCTGTTCCTTTCTCCAGACTTCCTTTGACTTGCAGACTGCTGTGTCCTTCCATACTGGACTCGCACTGGTGTATGGGTGTCCCTGATGTTGTCCTCTCCTCTTGTAATGGCATCAATCCTCCCAGATTAGAGCCTTTCCATTGCCATGTCATTTAACTTTAACTACATCCTTAATCTCTAAATACAATCACACTGGTTTGCCCTTCAACTATTTATATGTTTTTCTGTGTGTGTGTCTGTGTGTGTGGTGTATGCTCGTATGCACATTTGTGTGGCAAGATGCTTGTATGAAGTTCAGAGTACAACTTCCAGGCCTTGGTTCTCTTCTTCTACGATATAGGTCCCATGATAAAACCCAGGCCATCAGACTTGGAGGTGAAGCACCTTTATATGCTGAGCCATCTCACTAGCCCTCAACTTGTCACTTTTTAGGGGACACAAGTCCATCCATAACAAGAGTGATCAATAACACTCTCTTTGAGATGATATCTGAATTAGGACTTTAAGAATAAAAAGGATAAAAGCTCATGAGAAGCCCTCATTATAAGGAGAATTCAAGGACAAGGCCTCTGACTCAGAAATGTAAGAGTCATGACTCTAGAACTATTTTACTGATAGCAAAGAAAACATAACTTCAAGTCCTAGTCCCTACTCCAAATGACTTGACAGATTTAGATGACCCCTCCTGGAGGGCAATACCCTACATGTGGAGGGGGGGATGGGAGGGGAGGGTGGTCAGGATGCATGTGATGGCGGGAGGGAGGGAAAGAGGGAGGAAGGGCGGGAGAAGGAACTGGGATCGATATGTAAAACAAAAACTAATTATTAATTAAAAGAAGAAAGGAAACATAACTTCACATAGAGAATGACATCATATAAACATTTAATAGCAATTGTTAATACTCACTAATAATAGCTACTCATATAATGTATTTTAGAAGGTTTTTAAATTCAAAGCTAATTTAAATAGAACAGATATAATACCTTCTAGAAAGAAAAATCATTTCAATCTTAGGTTAAGCAGAAATAGTTATTATTCTGGTAATTATAACTTGTAGCTCAGCAGTTACTT